CATGCACATACACATTTTTAGCTGCATAATTTGCAATTGCAAAGATATAGAACCCACCTAAGTGCCCATTAACCAGTGAGTGGATAAAGAAAATGTGGTATATGTAAATCCTGGAATTCTCAGTCACAAAAAGGAATTTTAAAAATGCCTTTTGCAGCAACTCGATGAAGCTGGAGGTCATTATTGTAAGTGAAGTAACTCAGGAATGGAAAATCAAATATCGTATGGTCTCACTTATAAGTGGGAGCTAAGCTATGAGGACTCAAAGGCATAAGAGTGACATTAATGAACTTTGGGGTCTTGGTGTGGCGGAAGATTGCAGTGGGGATGGATAAAAGGCTACATATTGGGTACCATGTATACTGCTGGGTGATCGGTACACTAAAGTCTCAGAAATCACCACTAAGTAACTTATCCATGAAACCAAAAACCACCTGTACTTCAAAAACTAATAGGAAAAAACCCAGTCCCATTCATCTCAGATATATTCATTAATTCATGATTTATTTTATTCATCAAACATTCACTATATGTCAGTCAATAAAAAGTAAGATTTAGCCTTGCTCATAAAGAGTTTATTTTTTAGTTGGGAAGATCTCAAGGGAAGAGCCAGTTTCTAATGAATGCACACATCAATATGATATATTTAGAAAACTCTAAGTTACTTTGATTATTCCTGATTGAAGAACTAGTTAAAAATTCCAACAGCAGAACCTTCATATCCTAAAACAATAGCAGTGTTCTTATCCTGCTCCAAATGCCAGGTTGCATTTCTCCAGAGACAAATTTAATTATGGCTTCATCCAACTGAAGGCAGAAAACCAGGGTGCTGGGAACAGCCTGTGTATCTATTATATCTAGGCATCGGTATTGTGCAGTCTTCCTCTCTGTAACACAGCCTGCAGAATCCAGGAGGAAAGTGTCCCTAGGCTATCTGAAGTAGCTATCCAAAGACTGGTCTAAAGCCATACGCTTTACTTTTCAGTTTCTCACTCAGATCCTTATTACCTTGATTAAACTTCCAGTCCTTAACACCACTGAGAGTCAGTCTGTTTTCCCAGCCCAGACAGAGACCACCAGGTAGAAAGGGACAGAGTTGGATTATTTTTAGAAGCAGCTACAGTTACAACAGAAGTGGCAACTGGACATGGAAAGGTGACAGAATATCGGAAAAACAAGGTAAGATAATGGATGTTCAACATTTTGAAATGCTCAAGTCATGGAATGAGAAGATTGTGCTTTCCCCCAGTATTTTCTGTTATAGAAGTCACAGAAATTTGTGACACATTCTAATAAAGATTCATATGCAATATGATTAAAATTAGCTTGAGCATTTGAGAGGACAGCTTTCTTTTTATGTTAACATTTATTTGCAGAAGATTCTTCATTCCCTTAGGATGCCAGCAAAAAAGTATCACTAGCTTTAATAATATTTATTTTCTCAAGTATTTTCTATTGTTGGGCTATGACACATCTCTGGGAACAAGTGACTTCTAACTGACAGAGAGAGTGATGCAGCTGTGAGTCACCTGGAAATGACTGACAAGTGGGATGAGTGTTTCAAACATCTGTCTTAGACCTCTTCCACCTCTTGTCGAGAGTCTAAATTTGCTTAGATGGGAAAGGTCTCTGTAAGGCACAGAGCTCTGAAAGGTAGATGTTTTAGAAACCAGGGATTTCATACGGCAGAGGAGTTGCCATGATTGATTTGTTCCTGTACTTATTTTACTTTATTTTTCTTCTTATTTTTTTTTTTTTGGAGAATCTCAAATGGAAAGGGTTGATTAATCATAATCTTTATTTCAAAGCACATTTTCATTGTTGGATCATGGAAAGCTGATCTTTTGTTTTGATGTCGGTAATTTTATGAATGTCTCTATTTACTTATTCCCTTTATCCTCGTTTCCCACTGCCTCTCCCTACTCTTTTTCCTTCCTTCTGAGCCAGTCTGTGATGAGTTTGACGTGTATCTTTGGATTTACACTTCCTTGTAAAACAAATAGAGTCAATTTGTGTGTTAATTTCTTTTTAAGTTACATAAATGGTGTGAGGCACTAGACCTTGTTCTGTTTCATAAACTCTCTCAGCGCTGTCTTTTTAAGATCCATCTGTGTTGCTGTTCCTGTATCCAGTTCATTGCTTCCCACTACCACATCGTGCTGCATGACGTACCTCCACCACAGTTTACAGATTCATTCTCTACTGATGAACGTTGAGGTTGACTTGATTCCCTAATCAATCCATAATAGAACCGCAGTAAACAGCCTTATATGTGTAACCTGAGGGACTTGTTCAAAGGTCACTTTGGGGTTATTTTCCCAGGCGTAGATTGTTGGGTCATAGGATGTATGCATACTTAATTTGACTGCCAATTACTCTGTAGAATGACTTGACCAGTTTGTGCCTCTATCAGCAGCACGTGAGAATTCTTGACTATTTGCCACCCTGTTGATATGTCCAACATTCAGATTTTTGCCAAACTGATAAGGCGTAAAGTGGCACCTTACTCTTTTCATTTGAGTTTTCCTGATTTCTAATACATTTAAGCATCTCTTTATATACATTTGGTATCCATTCAGGTTTCCAGTGCTTTGAATTGCAATTTAAGCTGTTTGTGTAGTCTTGTATTTGGCTTCCTGTCTCTTTGGGTTTTGTTCTTGTTTATTTGAGAGGAGGTCTTGCACTGTGACCTAGGCTGGAGTGCAGTGATGCGATCATGGTTCACTGAAGACTACCTCTGGGCCTCAAGCAATCCTCCCAAGTTCAAGTGACTTCCTGCCTCAGCCTCCTGAGTAGCTGGGACTACAGGCATGTGCCACCATGCCCGGCTAATTAAAAAAAAATTTTAATAGAGATGGGGTCTCCCTGTGATGCCCAGGCTGGCCTCCAACTCCTGGACTCAAGTGATCCTCCCAACTTGGCCTCCCGAAATGCTGGGATGACAGGTATGAATCATCATGCCTGGCCTTCCTGTCTTTTTCTTACTAAGTTGCAAACGTTCCTTGTGTATTCTGAAACATTGATGTGCATACAAATTACCTGGGAATCTTGTTAAGATTCAGATTATGATTCAATGAGGATAGGATGGGACTCCAGATCGCGCATTTCCAATAAGCTCCTAGGTGATGCAGAAGCCTGGGGTTCTTGAACCACCCTTTGAGTCGCAAAGCTCTAGATGTTAGTTTGAGACTTTGCAAAAGTCTTCTTTCACATTTGTCATGCTACTATCACTTTTGTCTAGATTTAATTGCTTTTTGTCTAGATTTAATTGCTTCACAGCTCTAAAAAAATCCCCTGCGCTCTACATAGTCATCGTTACCCCCAGCCCCTCAGTCCCTGGCAGCCACTGATCCTTTTACTTTCTCTACAGTTTTGCCTTTTCCTGAATTTATATGGTTGGATTCAGACTGCATGTAGCCTTTTCACACTGGCTTCTTTCACTTAGAAATATGCACTTAAGGTTCCTCCATGTCTTTTCTTGGCTTGGTGGATCATTTCTTCTTATCACAGGATGATGTTTCGTTGTATGGATGTACCACGGGTTGTTTTTCCATTCACCTATTTAAGGACATGTTGGTTGTTTTCAAGTTTTGGCAATTGTCAATAAAGCAGCTATAAACACTTATGTGCAGGCTTTTGTGTGGACACAAGTTTTTGGATCATTTGGGTAAATACCTAGGAGTGAAATTGCTGGATTGTATTGTGAGGATGTGTTTAGTTCTGTAAGAAACTGCCAAATTGTTTTCCAAAGCGACTGTACCATTTTGTATTCCCTCTAGCAGCAAATGGGAGTTTCTATTGCCCCACATCCTCACCAGCATTTGCTGTTAGTATTTTGGATTTTAGCCATTCTGGCAGGTTTGTAGTGGTGTCTCATTGTTGTTTTAATTTGCAGTTCCCTAGTGACATGCTGTTGGGCATCTTTTTATATGCTTATTTGCCATCTGTATATCTTCTTTGGTGACGTGTCTGTTCAGATCTTTTGCCTGCTTTTTATTGTTAAGTTTTAAGAATTATGTGTATATTTTAGATACAAGTCATTTATCAGATATGTGTTTTGCAGATATTTTTCTCTCTGACTGTGGCTTGTCTTTTTATTCTTTTAACAATGCCTTTTGCAGAGCATAAGTTTTTCACTTTAAGAAGACAACTTACCAATTTTTTTTTCATGGATTGTGCTTTTTTGGTGCTGTATCTAAAAACTCATTTCTAAACCAAGGAGACCTAGATTTTTCCCCATATTTTCTTCTGGAAGTTTTATAGTTTTGCATTTTACATTTAAGGTCTATGATCCAGTTTGAGGTGGTTTTTGTGAAGAGTATCAGGTCTGTATCTAGATTCATATTTTTGCATGTGGATATCCAGTTTTTCTGGCACCATTTGTTGAAAGACTATTCTGTCTCCATTGAATTGCTTTGCTCTCTTGTCAAAGATCTGTTGACTATATTTGTATGGATCTATTTTTGGATTCTCTATTCTATTCCATTGATCTGTTTGTCTGTTCTTTCACCAATATGACAATGCCTTGATTACTGTAGCTGTTTTAGATATGTTTTGTAACCTTGTACTTCCTAAAAAAGATTCAAGATAGATTACAATTTCAGTTACATAGGAAACAGGACAATTTTAATAAAAAGACAAAAATTATTAAACATAAAAATATTGATTCTTCTGCCAGTGGCTCCATTATTTCAAAAGCTAGAAAACGAAGAGCTATTACGGTGGAGTATGGACAGGTCTAGGACTTTTTACCGTCTGGCGTGTATTTGACAACACTGAGAATTACGCATTTAGATAGAAATATTGAGCTTGGGTTATTCCTGAATGTTGTTTTCCTTTGCATTTGTGATAATTAGTTAGTATTGCATACTTAGTTATTTATAGTTCATTGGAGATACATCTTAATATGTTGGTTATTTTAATTACTGAACTAGCAACAACTGTTTGTTGAAATATCCATATATGCAAATCTGACTACATTCTTTTGCATTTTGTTTTAGGTCAATGATGCCTTCCTTCATGTGATACAGGGGAAATCCATGGGCAAGGTGCTTCTCGCTCTTAAATAAATCCTCACCTCAGCAGCAAAGTTAACATGTCCAGATCAAAACTCAACATCTTTCGCAGAAACCTGATTTCCCTTCTGTGTTTCCAAAGGTGTTACCACTTTCCTTACTAATCCAGGTTTAAAATCTTGGAGTTAGCTTTGATTCTGTTTACTAATTGCTCCTAATTAATATGGTTATATAATTTATCGTCCAAACTTGGACCTTGTTGAGAGTGAAAGGATGCCATTAGTCCTTACATCAGGAAAACATACCCCAGGCAAACCAGAAGGTATGGTCAGCCTACTTGATGCTTTATGAAGTGTGTTATGAAATCACTATTGCCAAGTTCTGTCATTCCCACCTCTGAGATATCTCTCACATCCATATCCTCTTTTCCATTCTGTTTATGCCTCATTTGCTGTCACCAGGGACCTTCTCACTGCTTTTCCTACCTTTAAACTACTGTCACCACTTCCATCCTTGTGGTGCATTATTGCCATGGTGATCTTCCTGAAGCATAACTCTGACTATGTCCCATTTCAAAAACCTACAGTGGCTCACCATTGCCTGATGGTGGAGTTCAGACTCTTTGAGCTAGCATTTCATTGTGACCATGACTTTTCCCTGCACCACTTTGCAGCCTTATGGCCCACAGTTCCACTGGGCACGAAGTATGTACTGAATTTTCTGCCTCTCTTATTTTGCTCTGCTTGTGCAATTTTTTCCGCCCTCCATTTCTGTCAAACATAAACCTTCCTGACCTCTAACACCTACCCCTGTCATGTGCCTTTACCATCAGACAAGGGGCAATCTCTTCTCTTCCTCTTGTACCTTCCTGTAGCGTCTCCCCCAGGAGTTGTCACATTCGGCCCTGATTCATAAGGAACAACATGTGTAGTGGAATGAATACAGGCCTCCGAATCCAAGATGTAAGTTTAAATCCCAGCTTTGGAGGTGGTTACTTAAGGTCTCAGTGCCTTCATTTTTCTTCCTATATAAAGTGGCTATTACAATATTTACCTCGCAGAGTCATTGGGAGCTATACATGCAGTGATTGGGTAAAGCACCTGGCACATGGCAAGCAATTAGCAAATGCTGGTTACTTCTACTGTTTTCCCTTCCAGCTATTCAGGAGGCTGAGGCAGGAGAATCACTTGAGCCCAGGAGGCAGAGGTTACAGTGAGCCGAGATTGTGCCACTGCACCCCAGCCTGGGCAATAAGAGTGAAACTCTGTCTCATTAAAAAGAAAAAAAAGAATTTTAGATAAGGGATCCTCAATGTGCAACATATGGAATGGCAGTTGCAAGCTGGGGAGGAGAGAATGGAGAGTTATTATTTAATGATACAATGTTTCCATTTAGGAAGATGGAAAGTTTTGGTGGTGTGTGGTGATTATAATTGTGCAACAATGAGAAGGTACTTAACACTGCTTAGCTGTACACTTAAAAATGGTAAAAATGATAAATTTTATGTATGTCTTATAGCAATAAAAAATGTTAAAAAAAATCATGTTATCCTCCTTTGTAAGTGAATCCATTCAGGGAAGAGAACAGGGAATGTGTGTAGCCTGCCTAGCTTAGGCTGAAGTCAGCTCCAGTCTCTGCCGGCATCCTGGTTTGCTGGGAGAGGTCCTGTACTTGGGCTGGGTGCTAAACATTGTGCTGTATTCCTCCTACTGCATGAGTGATAATTCTCAAAAAGGAGGAGGTGGCGTAGGGATAAAAACAGGCACCTGACACAACAGAGACATGTGGGTACTTCCACTTATTCTTGATTAAGTCTGCTTCCAATAAATGTGGTAAGAGGCTTTGTTTAGAAAAATACATATTTTTTTGGAAGAATAGAATGGTAAGATAGGGATTAACATTTGAGGAAAGAATTGGAAACGAAGAAATTAGCAGAAGGAAGGGGGAGGAGAAAGATGTCAGGGAAATCACCCACGAGTGTGTTGTGGGCCACGTGGTACTTCCACGAGGGCCAGCGCACATGCTGCCACCTCTTCCGTGTCACAGGGGATTAGTTTCAGCCTTCTGGGAGCTTCATGACCTGTGATTCCATTTCATAATAGGCTTCCTCTCACCTCCCTTCCCCCATCCCCATTTCATCTTAATATGAGCTATTTTTATATTTAAATGAAAGTTGGTTTTCAAAAATATTAAAAAAGTAAACTTTGAGCCTTATTTTAGAGTTTTGTAACAGCCTTTGGCATCACTGAAGACATGCTGGATAGATCATGGGAGAGAAGACAAATTAGGATTGGGAAAAGTGTATGAGCCCAGCCAGGAGCTGCCTTTTCCGCTGCTGAGAGCTGATCAGTAGGTGTCACAGGTAATAAAGATCTATTGTCTCCAGTTCACTAACATCAAAATGACTTAGATAGAAAGAGGCAGTCATTTAGGAGAGTGAGTTTTTTTAGATTTAACAAGTTTTGGTTAGAACCTCTAATGACCTGTTCTCTCCTTGCCTCTGTTCCTGTTTCACTGGAATGATTTGATTTGAAAGCATTTGACTCATATTTTAGTCATCATTTGGTTGTTCTACCATCTGAGCCATTAGTTAGTCTGAAAAAAGAATCAATGCAGCTCCAAGTGACAGTATTTATTCTATATTCACAGACTTTTTCCCAGCTCTTCCTCGTAGGCTGCTGCTGGAGGAATCATGCCCACACGCCCACCTCCCCTTTTTCAGAAACTGTGGGTCTCTCCACCTGCACAACCAAAGTGAGGTTTTCTGCCATTATCTGTGGAATGATCCTATCTGTGCACCACCAGTATATTTGTTCCTGCTCTTTACTGTGTAACCTGTGTGAATTTAGAAAATGACCTTTCTATTTGAGTTATGGTAAAGATAATAAGGGCTGTTATTTGAGAAGTGAGGGATAGCAAGGTGCTTTCATGTATTCAATTGTATTTAATTTAAAGCAATTGGAGTAAACTAAGAAAAATTCATGCTATTATATTTTTTTCTAATTTTCCTTCCAAGTTTATATAAAGGAATCAATGCCTTTTTTTTTTGGTGGAGTCTTGCTCTGTCACTCAGGCTGGAGTGCAGTGGCATGATCTTGGCTCACTGCAGCCTCCACCTCCCGGGTTCAAGTGATTCTCATACCTCAGCCTCCCAAGTAGCAAGTGCTCTCTACCATGACCAGCTAATGTTTATATTTTTAGTAGAGACAGGGTTTCCCCATGTTGGCCAGACTTGTCTTGAACTCCTGATCTCAAGTGATTTGTCCATCTCGGCCTCCCAAAGTGTTGGGATTTCAGGTGTGAGCCACCATGCCAGGACAGCAATAAATTTTTGAAATCTCTTTTGTTAATAAAAGTGACGTAAAACCTAATTAAACGAACAAATTCTGGCATTTCCAATTGTTCTCTTCCATTTTGCTTCTTCATCAGAACTTACTGCTAGATTGAAGGTCTGGCTTGGAAATTAGCTTGTTTCTAGAACTGTATCCTTGTTGAGGATCATACAAAGTGACTTTTCTACCTCTTTTTCATTGTATTTAGAAATGATCAGTTTCCTGAACTTTCGTGAACTGTATCATTATTTTAAAAATGGCATTGTTGAACTAATTACAACAATACTATATGGTCACTGGATAAAGTCAAACCCAGAAATTTTTAAGTAGAAATTGTTATCCTATTTTTCCTCTTCCTTGTCTCATTTCCATTTTCCAGGGCAAGCACTTCAAGCAATTTATTGTTAGTCTTGAGTCTTGCAAACCTTTTTTTTTTTTTTTTTTTTTTTGAGACGGAGTTTTACTCTTGTTACCCAGGCTGGAGTGCAATGGCGCGATCTCTGCTCACTGCAACCTCCGCCTCCCGGGTGCAGGCAATTCTTCTGCCTCAACCTCCTGAGTAGCTGGGATTACAGGCACGCGCCACTATGCCCAGCTAATGTTTTGTATTTTTAGTAGAGACGGGGTTTCACCATGTTGACCAGATGGTCTCGATCTCTTGACCTCGTGATCCACCCGCCTCGGCTTCCTAAAGTGCTGGGATTACAGGTTTGAGCCACCATGCCTGGCGCAAACCTTTTTAAATACAGCCTCCCACACCACCCCAACAAACACAGAGTTTTTTTTTTTAAATAAATGTATATACATATAAGTTTTAAAAATAGTATGCATACTGTTCTGTAATGTGCTGTTTTAAATTAATAATATAGACATTCGTGTTAGTATATGAGTTATCTCTTTTTAGCAGCTACTTAGTATTCCATAGTGAGGTATATGATATATAATCATTTCCTCATTAGTGGGCTTATTCATATTCACATAAGCATTTATCGATGTGCTTCTGTGTGAGCAAAAGTTTACGAATCTAGTAGGGGAGACAGACATTAATCAAATATATAAAGTCATGCTAAACTGGTGCCATCTGAGGTCTAATGGAGGAATTCAACTCAGGAAGATCAAGAAACTTCCTCGAGGAAAGACCCTTGAGCCTCTATCTGAAGATGGAAGCTTCTAGGAATTTAATCCTAGTGATTTAGATAGGGAAGAAAGGGAATATTCCAGGACCCTGTGGCTAGTGAAAGCTCAGTGAATAAAGGGAGCTGAAAGGAGTCTAGTGGGGCTGAAGCTTGAGAAATAAAGGCTACTGTTGTGAGATGAGGCTGGTGGTGGGGCCCAGGTTAGGCAGGGATGTGCAAACAAGTTATGGGAGTTTTGACTTTACGCTAAAACAAGGGGTGCCACTGAAGTGTTGTAAGCAGAGGTGGGACGGGGGCAGCGTGACCGGAATGGCCTTTTGGAATCCCTCCAGCTATGGTGGGGAGAAGGGATTAGAGAGGAACAGTTAGGAGTCCACTAAAGCCCAAATGAAAGATGGTTGTATCCTGGACTAAGGTGGTGGTGATGGGGAAGGAGAGAAACGAACAGAAGGGAGAGCTGTTCAGGAGATGAGGGTGAAAGGACTTGATGTTAAATTGGATATGGGGTAGGGTGGGGGAAGGAGAGGGAAATGTCAACATGACTCTTAGCTCCTGGATGTTTGAGAAAAGGGACATCAGAATTGGGTTTTGGCAGTGGAGAGAAGCTATGATGGGGCAAAAAGTTACGTTTTGTAATTATTGAGATTTACAGGACATGTTAAATACCTGTCTGGGGCTCCGAAGAGAGGTGTGGCCTAGAGATGTAACTTTGGGAATCATTTGCAAGGAGGTGATATTGATACCTGTGGTGTGGCTGAGATTAACCATGGAGAGTGTATAGAGCCAGAAAAGAACAGGGTATAGACTAGCCTTGAACATGTTTCCTTTCAATAGAACCATGAATTATTTCATAACTGCTGTTTATCACCGAACGTCTTAGAGGGGGTAGTTTGTGATTTAAAATAAATGGCAAGTGAATATAAGGAAGGATGCAGTGCACAGCTGCAAAAGCACCATTCTCTTGATGAAGGGCCAGAGACTGGGGCTCTAATTCTAGCTCTTTGATCTTGGTCTCATCACCTTTTTACTCTTTTCATGTGAAAAATAAGGATCACATGTTTTCTCTACCTTGCATGGTTCATGTGAGTGTCAAATGAGATAATGTATGTAAAAGTGCTTTGCAAGTTATTTTCATAATAGGTTATAAGGTTGCCTTTTACCAGTGTATTTAAATTCATTTCAGAGTTCATTTCATTTTATTGAAGCAAAAAATGTATATTTTTTCAGCATAAGCTGGGCTGACATGGAGCAAAAGAATTGTTTGATTTTTAAAATGGTCTCTCAAATATTTTTACATTTTAGCTAAAGCCATTGTGCTCTTTTATACAGAAGATTAGACGGAGTGATGGGAGCCCAGTGATCTGAAGTACCTCAAAGAATTACAGAGCCAGACAAGGTCTAGAGAAGGACATGTAAGTTGATCAAGAGGGTAGAGAACATTCTTTGTGAGTGATGATAAAAGGATTAGCATTCTTCATTCTGGAAAGAAAGACACAGGCTGAGAGGGGAATATGATTGAGATTTATAGGATAATGAAAACCTAGGATAAAAATATGAACTTATTAAATCTCACAGCATAAGAACTAAGGACAACTTTAACATTTTAAAGAAATATTTTAGGGCAAAGTAAAAGTAGCACTTTTTAATAGAAGAAGAATAAACATATAGAACTT